ATTTTCAATAAACAGGCCAGGGTCAGTTCCAGAACAGGAAGAGGTATGGTCAGTTTAGGCAGCAGGCAGTGGCATTGTCAAATAACAGGCTAGGGTCAATTCAGGAGCAGGCAGAGGCATGAGGAGTGAAACGGCAGGAAATTCAGAATTACATTTACCATACTTCACTAATATTGTAGAGAAGTATGGTAACAGAGGAAACAGTGACCTATACATAGGCCTGGTTGGGAAGGACATTGAGGACAATAAAAACTGGTGTCTTGTCTAACTCCTCTTCTGAAGCATACCCGACATTTCTTTTTACGTATTTGACCTCTTTCTCCAGGAGGAACTTTTTTTGGAAAATGACTTTCGTGGAGTCTGCTCACTGCATCTGAGCGAACACGTTCTGGTGGGCCTCCAGGGTACAAAAGAGCAGTGACAATTTCCTCCTGATACGTAGAAAGGGACATGGGTGTCTCAGTGGATTTCAGGTAGATCACAAATGTATTATAAATGGCCAAATTGAAAAAATAAATGGAGACTTTTTTGTACCAATGGTGGGTTCTTCTTACAGCAAGGTAGGGCTGGATCATCTGATCACGGAAGTCGATTCCCCACATGAACAAATTATAATCATAGACACATTCTGTTTTTGTATTGTGCCATTACTTCTGGTGATTTGCACATGGGTGTCATGAATTGATGAGAGCATGTAGATGTCTCATTTGTCCCTCCACTTCATAGCCAATATCTCTTTGTTCCACAGACTTACCAACCCCCCTCGCTGTAGACTTGTGTTCACCAGCCTTTGCGGGAAGTCCTTCCTACTAGCTCTCACCGTGCCACATGCTAGTGTTCTCCTTCGGTGAAGATTGCAGAAAAGGGGCAAGCTGGTTTAAAAATGATCAACATATAGATGATAACCCTTTTCAAGGAGTGGAAATACAAGCTCCCAAACCACTTTTCCACTTGCTCCAATGTAATCTGGGCATTCATGAGGATACAGTAGGGTGTCCTTTCCTTCATACACAGGAAAGGCGTACACATACTCCCTGTCTCTGTCGCATAATTTATAGAGTTTAACCCCATGTTGGGCCCTTTTGCTGGGATAAACTGCCTGAAGCTCAGCCTGCCAGTGAAGGGGACAAGCCCCTTCTGCATCCATGCAGATATTTTTGTCCAGGACAAATATTTGGATGAATTTCTGAGAGGAAAATTTGAAGAAGTGGCTGAATTTTATACAATTTATCATATGCTGGGTCATTTTGGAGAAGGCACTGGGTGTTATCGTCGTAATGGAAGAACCGCATGATCCTTAGATATCTTGTTCTGGGCATGACTGATGAGTAAATTGGCATATGATGAATTGGGTGGGTAGACCAGTAATTGATTTTTTTTGTGAGTTCCATATTAAATGTGAGGCCCAAAAAGGTTCTAAAGTCCTCCACTGTTAACTGCTTCCATTCGTAGGGACGGGCATAACTTGAATTTGGGTTGGTGGCTATGAATTGTGGGCATAAAGGTTGCACTGGTCCACAATTGAATTTAGAGAGTCATCGGTAAAAATTAAATGAAAAAAATCAATGGGAGCAACATTTTCTGTGTTCACCTGGACTCTTGTAAAAGAGGGGATGTTAGCTGTTCCATTGTTAGGGAAAGGCCATAAGGGGATTTGAAGGGCATATTAGGAGAGCGGCATGGGTCCTAACCCTTTGGGGCTGAGGTGACACCCCACTAGTACCTGGCCTTTTTTGAGGTTCTCCATTTCTGGTGGAAGCCACTGCTCTACTAGTGGATGTCACTGCACTACTTGTGGTAGCCAGCTCCTCACCAGAATGCCTTCATTTGGTGGGCACACTTTCCTCCTCCTCTGATAGGAGACCCACTGCTTAAAATGGGCTCGTAATCCAAATCAGAATCAGACTCAGAGAGCTCCCTGCTGCTCTCCTTGGTCATGTTTAGGATTTGGTAGGCCTCCTCATGGGAAAATAATTTTTTAGACATACTGGGACAGATGTGGCTGCACTGATGTGTGCTGAAGAGGCTGCTCTAATGAGGCTGCACTGCTGAGTGCTGATGAGGCTGCACTGCTGGGTGCTAAAGATGCTGCATTGCTATGTGCTGATGAGGCTGCACTGCTGGGTGCTGATGGGGGTGCACTGCTGGGTGCTGATGAGGATGCGCTGATGGGGATGCACTGATGGGTGCTGATGTGAAGTGATGAGTCTGCACTAATGGGCACTGATGTGCAATAATGCACTGCACTGAAGCTGCACTGATAAACTGCCACTGATGTGTACTAATGGGTGCTAATGAGGATCCACTGATAGGGTGGCACTGATGTGTACAAATAAGTGGCACTGATGTACACTGATAAGCTGCAGTAATTAGGTTGTACTGGTGGTAACTGATGAGCACTGATGTGCATCGATAAGCTGCAGTGATGAAGCAGCACTGATAAGCTGCAGTGATAAGGCAGCACTGGTGGACACTGATAAGCTTCAGTGATGACACTGATGATCCCCCACTGATGGGCACTGATGAGCACTGATGAGCCCTTGCTGATAGGCACTGATGTGCACAGATGGGCACTGATGAGCAGAGATAGGCAATGATGAGCACAGGTACGGCACTGATGAGAACACTCACAGCTTAGAAACTGATTCTCTCTCCTTTCCTAATACTACTCGGTATTGGTGTGAGAAAAGAAGAGAGAAAACCGAGCCATGACCCTGCTGTGTTTACATTTGTGATTGTTCATCATTGGATAGAGTAATCACAAATGTAAATAGCCTCTGCAATTGGCCCTTCAGACCCCTCTTCATGATGTGCTGTGTTCGAGGGACACAGCCATCACTTACACTTCCTGGGGGTGCGTGGGAAGCGCGATCACGGGAGGACGTCATATGACGCCCTCCCAAAACTGGCCAGCCGCGGTGAAGCCATCATATGGCTATCACCCATTGGCAAGTGGTTAATTTTTGTGCTGGCTATTGTTAGCTACTTGTAAAAGTACAGTATTGTAACAGTAAAATTGCATACTTGAAGTGTATAAAGTTCTGTTACACATTATGATATTACAATATGGCCAGACATAAATGTTTTACTAACAGAAACGTTCAAAATGAATAATAATTCTTGTATGAAAAAATAATGAATTTCTATGTGACATTATGAGGCTAGTTAAATTGTGATTAGAATGGTTATAGTTACTTATGTGAACACAATAATGTATCATGTAGCATGATATGATGGACAGGAAATTCTTTCTGGAGCAGGCAACAGGCCAACATTGTATCAATATGTCTGAAAGACATTTTTGTTCTATTTTGCTGTGGGTGATCATGCTATCTAACATACATGAACTTAGCAAATACTTGTGCTCAATGACTGCATTTCACATTTGGCAAGATTCACCTTTTGTCAAACAGGAAACTGTAGCAAGCTGTGTAATGCACTTGAAATTCTAATAAATGTCTCAAACTGCAGTTGGTAAAGGTTCTTGCATAATTGTGTTTATTTCTCATGGCATGCCACTCCTAATAAAATCAGCAGTGTGATTACTAATTAGAAACATCTATTTTTAAATTTTTCTTCCCTAAGACCAGCCTGCTCTTCATTCTCCCATCAATCTGTTTTAAAGGAGATGAAAAAGCATAATTGTCAACCCCTTGTAAATTCCTGCTAGGTTTTTAAATTCAGAAGAATTTAAAGTAATAAGAAAAAAGTTCTGAGTTAGAGCAGGAGACCCATATACAGTCTTACCCAATATTTTATAAAGTGAGTAATTTTATAAATTGAATTTTTTAAAAAATAACTTTGGTAATAATTTAATGTAGAGTACCTTTCTAGACAAGGGTTCTCAACCAGGGGTATCCACACCACGTGGGAGTATGATATATGGGTTATAGAGCTGAATCTTTAAATTATAAAAAAAATATTAAGGCAAAATTCCCCTTTAAAGAAAATAGCCAGTAGTTAAGGGGGCAGACGATAAGACACAACATCATCTTTTAAAAATGTTTACAAATAATATTGTAGTACCTGTAGGCCATTTGAGTCACCATAGCAGCTTATCTGGAAAACTCTGATAGCTTTGCTTCATCCTGTCCTGTTGCTACTACATTCCAGCCATTGGACCAGGGGTAATTTCCTCTTTCAAATCCCTATGAGTGCATGGGGCACTCTCTCCCATTGCAGTACAGACTCTCCAATCACTTTATTTGTCCTCAAAGAAGGAGTTTCAGTCACCATTTTGTTGTAGCCCAGAGGAGAGATGGAAAGGGGCTACAGAAATGTGAGAACCATGGTGGGATTGTGTGACTGGACAGTTTTGCTGCAATGTGAGAGAGCATACATAAGTGCTGCTATTTGAACAAGGAAGCATAAACGTCCAATGACTAGACTGTTCAAACAATAAGACAGGGCAAAGTTATATATGAACATTTTTGGCTAGGCTTCTGTGGGGGTGAAAATGGCCTACAAATATGGCATTTATATTTTTAATTATCTTAACATCTCTCAACATTTTAAAAGCTGAAAAGTTTTATTTTATCTACAGGGGCCCCTTGACTAGTGTTGAGTAAATTTTCTTGAGTTTAATTTGCTTAGAGGGAAGCAATAAAAAGTTCCTTTAACCTCCTCCTGCCCACCATATAAGGATATAATGGGTGCAAGATGGTTCTCACATTCTGCGAGGATGTCATATGATGTCATACCACTCTAACTGCACATGCGCGGTTCTGGGGGCATGCAGCACAGTGATCGGTGGTACGTTGTGTCCCTCGGACACAGCAGATCACTGATCAATGGAAAGAGCTGAAGAAATCAGATTGGTCATGTGATCAGCTGTGTCCAATCACATATAAATAAGGAAATATCGGTTATCGGCATTTCTCTCCTGACAGCTCGAGAGGAGAGGAGAGCCGGTAATTGGCATTCCTCAGAGGGGACATGCACACTGATCATCAGAGCACTGATGATCAGTGTGCTCTGATGATCAGTGTAGCCCCAGCAGTGCCACCTGTCAGTGTCCATCAATACCAGCTGTCAGTGCTCATCAATACCACCTGCCAGTGCCCATCAGTGCCACATCATTGCCACATATCAGTGCCCACCAGTGCACATCAATGCCACATATCAGTGCCCATCTGAGCTGCCTTTCAGGGCCGCCTATCAGTGCCAGTCAGTGCCGCCTATCAGTGCCAGTCAGTGACACCTATCAGTGCTCGCCAGTGCCACCTATCAGTGCCTGTCAATATTGCCTATCAGTGCCACCTACCAGTGCCAGTCAGTGCCACCTAACAGTGCCAGTCAGTGCCACCTATCATGCCAGTCAGTGCCACCTATCAGTGCCATATATGAGTGCTGCCTTTCAGTGCCCATCAGTGATGCCTGTCAATGCCCATCAGTGCCACCTACCAGTGCCTCCTCATCAGTGCCCATCAGTGCCACCTATCAGTGCCCATCAGTGCAGCCTATCAGTGCCCATAACTGCAGCCTCATTAGCGCACATCAATGAAGGAGAAAGATCACTTATTTACAAAATTTTATAACAAAAACTAAGAAAAAAGTTTTTTTAAAAAATTTTCAGTTGTTTTTGGTTTGTTTAGCAAAAAATAAAAAACCCAGATGTGATTAAATACCACCAAAAGAAAGCGCTGGCTGTCTCAAAAAAAATGATATAAATTTCATATGAGTACAGTGCTGCATGACCGCGCAATTGTCATTCAAAGTGTGACAGCGCTGAAAGCTAAAAATTGACCTGGGCAGGAAGGGGGTATAAGTGCCCTGTAGGCAAGTGGTTAAATAACATTTTTTGGGATTGCCATAATAAAGTTTGCAGCTAAATGACATTTCCCTGCAGACTTCTTTTACTTTATAAAAAAACATCATATGGACCCTCCAAAATAAAACAATTGGCATGGAAACCATGGCACTGCCATTAGGAACATGTACCAATGCAAGACAAAAAAATACCCTTTAGTGGGGAGCAGATTTTTAATTAATGCTTTAAGGACAGCATTAAAAATACACACAATTCCATCAAATAACATGGCTATTACATTGCACTACAACGACCAATGATTGTGCAACTGGCATCCCACACAGCTTCTTCAGTTGCTAGGAGGCAGGCAGTCACTTGTGTCCCAGCAACCAAAGATGGCTGCAGCCCACACAGCACAAAGTTCTCATTTAGTGGTGGTAGTAATGCTGCCACTAATTAAATAACATGCAACTGCAGCCAGAGGTTCGAGCTGTAAACTCAATTTTGAGGCAAACGTGAACCCCAACCATTATGCTTGACTGCATAAGCTATTTACTTTAAACAATCAACTTAGCCTTTAAACAGGTTTCACTGTTTTTCTGCGTCTGATATCCGACTGACAAATTGATAGTTATGTGTCCCATGACGTGCAAGCAATAATTTCAGCAAATTCCATGTTTTGATTACACATAAACAGCAGCCAAAATCCCACTAACTGCAACTAGCTTGTATTATATGAATAAACATGGTAAAATCCATATAATATTCTTTCAATTGTATTGTTCCTAGCTATCCCTGTGTAAAATAAAATTAGGTTATTAATATATTTTGAAATGATACATTTACCTAATAAAACTGGTACTAATAATGATTTCAACAGTATGGTGAAGTAGGTATGAGTATTTTCTGGCAACAATATCCATACCTGCATTAATCTCCATGTTTACTTTCTTTTTATTGACTTATTTATTATTTTAAATTTAGTCTCCTCATATGATTAGGAAAAGTTATGCACCTGAACTTAACTGTGTCAAATCATGGCTCCTCTGCTTATCCCATTTTCACTTCTCTCATCTTCCTTTTGCTTTTGTTTCCATGGAGATATTTAAATTGATTTACTAAATGCATTGGAGTTGATCTACTAAAGGCAAATAATCTGTGCACTGCAAGTGCACTTGGAAGTGCACTTTAAGTGACTGAAAGTGCAATTGCTCTAGTTCTGGGGGGAACATGCAAGGAAAATTTTAAAAAATGGCATTTTTGCTTGCACATGATTGGATGATCAAAATCATCAGAGCTTCCCTTCATTTCAGAGCTTCCCTCCAGACCAAGAGTAAGTGCACTTCCAAGTAGGCAGGAATTTGTTTTTCACATGATTGGGTCACTAAAGTGATTGTCTATCACAGTGGGGCTGATTTGCTAAAGGCACATCACCCAAGTGCACAATCGGATGTTCCTTTATCTATTTTGGTGGACCTCAGTGTTAAACGGGAGGTCACATACAGTTTTAAAAAAAGGTTCCCCTGGATATCACTCTTGCATTGGGCCCTCCTTCTAATGCCACTTGGGAACTCATTTACATAGAAACATAAAAACACTCCATAGTGCTCACTATCAGCAGAAGAAGGTGATTGTGGTTGAAAAGCATAAAACACTGTTGCCATTCCCAGATTAGGATTCCTAAGTTTAGCTGGAAAGCATGCGGACCCAAGGAGCGGATTCCTCTAGTACTACTCAGTGTGTACATAGACTCCAAAAAGCACAGGTGTGAGTGTCTAGGTTGTCTCTTATGTGCTCTTATGCAAATATCCAACAGAGAGGTGCATGTATTGCATTGTGGGATAAAAGGAAGACATGTCAAAGCTGCATCTTGTTGCTCAAGATGAGGTGTGTAGGAGCATCCAAGGAACACAGAGCTAGATTTGCTCAAAACTAATGGTACAGACTATTGCGAAGTACCTGCTATTAAGGACTTATATTAGTTTCACATATTTTTCATGACTATTTCCATTCAAATGAAGAGCATTATGTAAATATTCCTCGCTAATCTGCATCAACTTAAAATGTATTTGTGATCAACCTTACCCTGTCATAGGAACCTTGAGAAAGTGATCAATTTCCAAAAATGTCTGACACCTGTGTAACAGAGGGAGCGAGATCTGTACCCATATCTGTGCTGATGTAAAAGCTATCTGTTTAGAGGTGCACCATGAAAAAAATAAAAAAGTATAAAAAATTAATACCTAAAAAACTACAGCAGCTATCTAATTGATGTTTCATCAACTTCTAGTTATGTACAAAGACACTGGACAGTGCTATTTGATATTATCACTATCACTCAGTTCACAATGTCAGGTGCATATGCATTTTCTAATCACTTGGGTCTACTGCCCCTTGAAGACGTCAAATGATGAAATGCGTAGGGTGTGGCATAGACGTGAAGTCACCGCACACATCGGGAACACTTGAAGCATAATGTGATAGCAGGAATAAGATCTTGATATATGCCTAAGCTGTTTACACTATTGTCGGTGGGACACTGTGAAATGTGAGTGCTTTTAATTTCATTTTAACCATTTTCCGCCCGGCCAATGGCCGTTTGGCGGCTTGAAAAGCGCTGCAGCTTTCGGGTGCACACCATTTGGCGTGCTCCCGCACATGCGCGGTTTGCGCGGTTGCAGAGCGACGCAGCAGTGCGATCTGTCACCGCCCGTGCACCTCGGACACGGCCGATGACAGATCCGAGTACCGGCTCCCGTTGCCGGTACCATGTGACCTGCTGTGACCAATCACAGCAGGTCACATGACAGTTGTATACAATGGATGGCTTCATTCATGATGCCATCCATTGTATACTAGTGCCTAGCTGTGAATGGTCACAGCTAATCACATGCACATGTCATGTGATTAGCTGTGACCAAATCACAGCTAATCACAAAAAAAAAAAAAAAAAAAAAAAGCTGAATGAATTGATTTCATTCAGGTAAATGCTTGCTTATAGCAAAGTAATTCTTTGCTATAAGCAAATTGTGTAAAAAAAAAAAAAAAAAATACTGATCACTTCCCCAAAGTAGTACAGTGTTACTATGGTAACATTGTACTATTTTGGTCATAGTAAAATATGAAAAAAAATCTTTAAAAAAATTAAAAAAAATGTAATAAAAAATTAAATATAATAAAAAATAAATAAATAAATTAAAAAAATATATATATTTTTTTTGTCACCAGTCAGTGTCCTTGTTCACCGCCATGCCAGTTATATGATGATGCTGTACTGCACTGGTGACAGTATGTAAAAAAAAAAATAGTGAAAATAATTTTTTTAATTTTTTCATTTTCCGAAAAATTATGACAAAAAAATACAACTTCAAAAAACTCGCCATGCCTCTTATGAAGTACGTCGGACTGTCTACTCTGCAAAAAGGGGTCATTTGGGGGATATCTGTACTATTCTGACATTCTTGGACCTCAAGATATTAGATTGGCTGTCAGTACTTCAGGATTGATCAATATTCAGATATATACCATAGTTTGTGAACTCTATAACTTTCCTACAAACTAAAAAATACATCCTAATTTGGGTTATTTTCACCAAAGACATGTAGTAGAATACATCTCGGCCTAAATTTATGAAGAACAATTATTTATTTGTAAACTTTTATAACAGAAACAAAGAAAAATGTGTTTTTTTTTTCAAAATTTTTGGTCTTTTTTTGTTAATTTAGCAAAAAATAAAAACCCCAGCGGTGATTAAATACCACCAAAAGAAAGCTCTAGTTGTGTGAAGAAAATGATCAAATTTTAGTTTGGGTACAATGTTGTATGACCGCGCAATTGTCATTCAAAGTGTGAGAGCGCTGAAACCTGAAAACTGGCCTGGGCAGGAAGGTGTAAAATTGCACGGTATTGAAACGGTTAAATAAAGCAGTTTAAAGTTTTTTTTATATACTATGCAAGCTCTCTTCCTCCTTTTTCCTTGCTGTACATGATGGAATTTATATCCTGGTGATCCTGGAGCTCCTCAATAAAAGCCGGTGATCTTATGCTTTACAGGATAATCCCCAGAGGGGAACACTGTGTGGGTTGGTTTATAACTTTACCAACAACATCTTCTGGTGAGTTGAATCCAGCACAATTGGTGGTGAAGACACAACTTGGTGATGATTTAAGGTGCTTCATAGTGGATTTACCTCAGAGGAAGATAATTAGTTTGAGAATATCACTTGATTCATGAAGAACCTATGAAATACATGGTAGTGGTATATTTGTACATGTATACAGGATTCATAAGAAATTGTGGACTTTGAAGATTTATGTTATATTATTTTTGTCACAATTTATTTATATGTTGGATATGCAAATAAGGGGCACCCAATTGTTATTTTTGGTTATATAATTGTCACTTTATGAGTTTGTTATATATGCACAATTGGTACACACATTAATTTTTCAGTAGTGGGTTACAAGTGCACATACACTTTATTGTATATATTACATTTTTTGCACTGAAAATGCAAATGCACCTGGCACTTTAGGAAATGCAAAAAGGGACACATATTTGTCACTTCAGTTATAAAAAATCTTATATGCACAATTGGTAGACACATTGATTTTTCAGCATTGGGTTAT